AAAATCTTATTTATGATCCGATTTGGCTAATGTTTTAAATATGTATGCAATACTATTGCAAAAACGTGCTGCCAAGTGGTGCTGAAGTCGAGCTATTACTAAAAATAGCCAAGTGAGAAAAGGGGCCGTGAAGGTCAGATTAAATCGACCTGTTGCACCATTGAGTATATCGAACGCTCCTGCGTTGCAATTGGCCCAATGGATGTGATTTTCCAATATTATTATGCGTTCAAACTTTTAAGGTATTTCGTCTGAAATAAGTATATGTATATTGCATTTCTGTAGAACAATGATTCGCACCCATTTTGAAATTGCCACCTACTATACTGTAAAGCTTCTGGGACATTCACTATAGAACCGGGTCATTGTTGCCGCCAGGGAGTGAAGAGGAAAAAATTTATTTCGCTTTGCGAATAACCGTGCTATGAAATGCCGCACAACTGGAGAATTTTAAGAACGGATATAGCACTTTCCTTACGTTATTTAAAGCGGCAAATTACCACCAAACCTTAATCTTAGCAGACAAATGTGCCAATGAAAATCATAAACGTGAATTGTTGGTGAAAATGTTGGACCAAAAAGTTTCAATAAAACATATAAAAATTTTGGGCGGGACGAAGTTCGCCGGGTCTGCTAATATACTATAAAAAAGGTAATTTTGTTTAGAAGAAAACATGAAATCTTATATTTTTCCAAATGGGGATTAATTTCTTCCCGTTTTTCTTATTCTACTGAGCTAAGGCAGTGTCAAATCGAGCTGTCACAACTGATACCACCTTGTATTAGCTTTGTTTCTTATCAGATAATTATCACAATTATCACTAATTTCTGCTGAAAAGCGTTTCTCAACCCAAAAAACTAGCAGAAACTAGCAGCTCTCTCTCGTTCTTACGCTCTTCTCTAATGCTAATTTCTGCTAGTAAAACTTTTACTAGCAGAAACTAGCAGCTCTCTCTCGTTCTTACGCTCTTCTCTAATGCTAATTTCTGCTAGTAAAACTTTTACTAGCAGAAACTAGCAGCTCTCTCTCGTTCTTACGCTCTTCTCTAATGCTAATTTCTGCTAGTAAAACTTTTACTAGCAGAAACTAGCAGCTCTCTCTCGTTCTTACGCTCTTCTCTAATGCTAATTTCTGCTAGTAAAACTTTTACTAGCAGAAACTAGCAGCTCTCTCTCGTTCTTACGCTCTTCTCTAATGCTAATTTCTGCTAGTAAAACTTTTACTAGCAGAAACTAGCAGCTCTCTCTCGTTCTTACGCTCTTCTCTAATGCTAATTTCTGCTAGTAAAACTTTTACTAGCAGAAACTAGCAGCTCTCTCTCGTTCTTACGCTCTTCTCTAATGCTAATTTCTGCTAGTAAAACTTTTACTAGCAGAAACTAGCAGCTCTCTCTCGTTCTTACGCTCTTCTCTAATGCTAATTTCTGCTAGTAAAACTTTTACTAGCAGAAACTAGCAGCTGTCAAAATGAATAAACAAAAATTCGCGCCAAATATTTGCAATAGTCAAATACACTGATCAGCTAGTTTCTGCTAGTTTTGCGTTTCTTTACTTTTTCATTATTTCGTTCTTTGTGAGCGTAATTCTCTCAATTTTTCCATTCTTCTTCTTCCTCATAATAATCTGCTAGAAAAGAAAAGAAATAAAGCTGCTAGATGCTAAATTCAAAGCTTTATCGAAACAATTTGATGCAATAAAAAATCTAATAATCTCCTTGCATTCGACGAACAACAACTCGAGTGCAAATAGCCTTAACGCTGTGAATGCTGTCATGATGGCTACGGAATTCAATACCAGAAAAACTGCCGCTAATATTTCTTACAACAATAGCTACTATTTATATAAGCTGCTTTATGGAGCTTTACGGCCGGTTAAATAAAAAGCAAAACAAAGTTTTCTTTTATCCTCCTACGCGTTTCGGCGTCTTTTCCGCCTTCATCAGGGAGTCTGTTTATTCGGAACAAAACATAAAAACACAAACAATTAGGCTTCAAATCACAATTAATAATATGCGTACATACATACACTTTACACATACATACATGCGTACATACATACATANTAGTTTCTGCTAGTTTTGCGTTTCTTTACTTTTTCATTATTTCGTTTTTTGTGAGCGTAATTCTATCAATTTTTCCATTCTTCTTCTTCCTCATAATAATCTGCTAGAAAAGAAAAGAAATAAAGCCATTATTGATGCTAAATTCAAAGATTTATCGAAACAATTTGATGCAATAAAAGATCTAATAATCTCCTTGCATTCGACCAACAACAACTCGAGTGCAAATAACCTTAACGCTGTGAATGCTGTCATGATGGCTGCGGAATTCCATACCAGAAAAACTGCTGCTAATATTTCTTACAACAATAACTACTATTTATATAAGCTGCTTTATGGAGCTTTACGGCCGGTTAAATAAAAAGCAAAACAAAGTTTTCTTTTATCCTCCTACGCGTTTCGGCGTCTTTTAGNCTACATCATGTTGTTGTTCTTTACTGATCTTGTCTTTTGTTTTGCTAAATATTTTGTTGAGAGTGCTATGCGGCTTATGTGCGAATGTATATTTTTATTTTGGATATTTTTATGTAGTGTTTTTGTATCCGTTAGTCCTTTTACATATGTGACTCCTTTAAATATTTTGCTTTCATTTCTGTTTTCGGGTTCGGCGTTCGTTTCAGATGAATTTTGTCTGTATTTTGTTGTTGCTATCAATCTGTCTATAGTTTTGCTTGGGTATCCGTTCCTTAGCAATATGTTTTTGATTTTTCTGATGTTATCTTTTCTGAACGCCTGGTCGCTCAGCGGGTAGATCTTGCTTATAAGGTTGATAGCTGTGTTCTTCTTTTGTGCCCAGGGATGATTAGAATGATAATTTTTCATTCTAGAAGATGCTATGGCTTTTGCATACCAATTCGTTATAATTTTATTATTTACCTTATGAGTTTCCAGGTCTAGGAAGGCTAACTTCTTCTCGTTTTCAAGTTCAGTGGTGAATTGGATTTTTCGGTGTTGAGAATTTAATACTCTTAGTATGTCTTCCACGTCATTTCTTCTAACAATCGAAAATATATCATCTACATACTTATTTACGTATTTGATACATATGTAGTATTTTATCAAGAACAATATCTGCTACAGTGGGTGATAAGGGGTTTCCCATCGGCATTCCGTGTACCTGTTGATAGTATATTCCATCATAGACAAAATAGTTATTTTCGTGCAGGCAGAATTCTAAAATATTCAAAAATTGCTTCCTCGTAAGACGTGTATGGATTTGAAGCGAGGTCCATTGCTGCATAATTATGCGGATTGCCAATTGCACTGGTATGTTGGTAAAAAGAGACACCACGTCAAATGAGATAAGGACTTCATCTTCTTCAATCGTTATATTTTTAAGCCTATCTTTAAGTTGGAACGAATTTTTTAAGTTGTAATTATCCGAAATTATGTTTTTAAATGTCTGTCCAAAACAATATTTAGGGCCGGTTACCCAATGTCTGGTTAACACTAATCTCCGGTAAAACATCGTTATCGATGTTACCGACTCCATGTTATATGCATGGAGCCGAACACGTCGATAATGATGTTTAAACGGAGATTAGTGTTAACCACATATTGAGTAAACGGCCCTTAAATACAGGACGGCAATAAGCTGCAATAGAAAAACAGATGGACGATGATGCAGAAGTGAATGTAGTGAAGTGATTATTGTGATGTTTTGCTTATTTTGTTCTTATTAATTTAAATGTAAGTGCTGTGGTTTCTATATATGTATATATGTACTTTGTTAACTATGTTATATATATGTATGTATGTACGCATATTATTAATTGTGATTTGAAGCCTAATTGTTTGTGTTTTTATGTTTTGTTCCGAATAAACAGACTCCCTGATGAAGGCGGAAAAGACGCCGAAACGCGTAGGAGGATAAAAGAAAACTTTGTTTTGCTATTTATTTAACCGGCCGTAAAGCCCCATAAAGCAGCTTATATAAATATATAAGAAGTTTTGGACCTAGAAAAACAAAAACTTAATTATTTCGGAGAGCGAATACCGAATACAACACATGCACGGAAAATAAAAAACACACAACATGAAGCACTATTTTCAACACATTAGGCTCAAATACGACGAAAGTACCTGTTACATCATCAAGCAGTACAACAAAAATCACAAAAAATTAGCTAAACAACAACAACGACTCAAATACCTACTGAAATGCAACGACTTAGGAATAACACCACCATATTTAACGGGTAAAACAAACAACATAAAGCACGGGTTCCAATTAGACATCACAAAAAAGAATTACAGAAAATAGAACAACATTACATAATGAAAATCTTAAACTTAGAAATAAAAGAAACCAACATTCAAATAAAACTAGTCCGCGCCGATATAAGCCACATTAAGAAAGATCTCCACAAAAAACTAGAGGGGAGAGATTTTGAGATGGTAGCAGAGCATCAAAAACAATATTTAAAAAATATCTCAATACACACAGAGAAAAATCTTAGTGAAAAATTACAAGGACAAATAGACAAGAATTTTGAAAGATATGGGTTCATCATCAACGAAGACTGGTTTATTAATAAGACTGACGTTTCATTTCCCAGAGAATCTCGGTGGCTCCTCTCATTAGGGAAAAAGTTTGCGCTACCCATAACAAGAAAAACGTTGTCACCAGTGCGATTGATTGCGGAAATAGAACAGGGAATCCAGACATTAGAAGATGAAAGAGACAAGGACACGGCGAGATGTAACGTAGCTGCGAGAATCAATACCTTTAAAAATAAATTTAAAAACAATAATAAGGAAAAATTTATACTCAAAATCTTTGAGGACACAAAGCGACTAATAAACCAACATAAAGACTGAATTGTTATCACGAGCGCAGACAAGGGAAATAAAACGGCAATTATGGAAAAAACAGAATACAAGGGAAAAATGAAAAATCTTTTGAACGATAAGGACACATATAAAACTATGCGGATGGATCCTACACCAAAACTGTTAAGGAAAAACAACATATTAGTTAATAACATATACAAACAAGGAAATATTGACAACCAACAAAAACACAAATTGACATGCACTGCACCAACGGCTCCGAGACTTTATGGACTCCCGAAGATACATAAAGAAAACACTCCACTCAGACCTATTTCAGCCTCGACCAACGTACCTTGCTTCTAACTTTCAAAATTTATTGGACAGACACTTAAAAACAGAATTTCGGATAATTACAACATAAAAAATTCGTTCCAACTTAAAGATAGGCTTAAAAATATAACGATTGAAGAAGATGAAGTCCTTATCTCATTTGACGTGGTGTCTCTTTTTACCAACATACCAGTGCAATTGGCAATCCGCATAATTATGCAGCAATGGACCTCGCTTCAAATCCATACACGTCTTACGAGGAAGCAATTTTTGAATATTTTAGAATTCTGCCTGCACGAAAATAACTATTTTGTCTATGATGGAATATACTATCAACAGGTACACGGAATGCCGATGGGAAACCCCTTATCACCCACTGTAGCAGATATTGTTCTTGATAAAATACTGGACGACAGCATAGCTGAACTTAAATCTAAGGACATATGTATCAAATACATAAATAA